CGATTGCTTACACACTAAAATTAAACTTTTCCAACAATTAGCAAAACCTTACACTCAAGGAGCAAAACACAAGGCTAGATTTGCACAACTGTAAGCACATTGTCAGCTTCACACTATTTGCAAAACATTACACACAGTGATTTGCAAAACACTAAACACACTTGTATACATCAGACACAGAAGTAAATCATGATGTCACTTCCTTGCAATTCCAAAGCACTAACTGTCAAATTACCACACCTATGAGCCAATCTGTTAAACACAGCCATCAGGTGCACAAACACATGATTGCTAAATTGTAGACACACCAATCAGGTTTAAGCACTATAAAAATGCAGCAGGTAGGTTCACCTGCCTTCAACCAAAATGGAAAGAGTCAGAAGAAGAGTGAGGGTGAGAGGAGGAGTACAAGGCAGAGGCAGAGGCAGAGGCAGAGGCAGAGGCAGAGGCAGAGGCAGAGGAAGACCTGAAGCAGGAGGAGAACGTGCACAAAGAGGACCAAACTTATCAAATGACATTCGTGCAACACTAGTGGACCATGTTGTGAACCACGGATTGACGCTGAGGGAGGCTGGACTGAGAGTTCAGCCAAATCTTAGCAGATATACAGTGGCATCTGTCATAAGGACTCTTCGACAGGAAAGCCGGTAAAAGAAGATCTGTCTACAGTTACAGTAATCAGCCGCTTATTGTATGCACCATATCAGCACTTGTGATACCCCTTCCTGTGACATTGTACAGTAAGTTACATGTATTATTCTCTACATAGGATTGAGGGTCGGGAACGACAAGGAGGAAGGGGGCCCATATTCACACAAGAACAAGAGAGAGAGATAATAAACAAAACCGGGCCCTGTTTTCAAAATTGTGCTTAAGCAATCGTAAACTGTAAGCAGCACAACTGTTTTCAACATTGATAATAAGACATAATGTTTCTTGAGCAGCAAATCCGCATATTAGAATGATTTTTGAAGGATCATGTGACACTGAAGACTGGAGTAATGCCTGCTGAAAATTCAGCTTTGCATCACAGGAATGACACAATATATTACAATAATAATGTTTTATTTGTTTTATTTTAATAACATTTCAAATAATATTTATTGTATCTTTTATTCAAATAAATGCAGCCTTGTTTAGCATAAGAGATTTCTTTTTCTTTTAAAATCACTGAATTTGAATCCCACATTGACCAATATTCACACATGCATTGTAGCTGGGTTAGCTATGTGTTAATGAGTTGGGAAGAACGCTGCAGAAAATGAATGACCAGCATTATTTACAACCAGTTAATTGAATAGGAAAAATCCATCCAGTAATGTGTGTTGCTGTAACACCCAGTAGTGTTGGCTCAGCGACTGACCGAGATTGCCAGGAACAGTAAACTGTCTTTGTGAGACAGTACTATGAGTGAGTGTGTGTGTGTGTGTGTTCTTGCTCTGTAGTGCTATTTAAATAAGAAGAGTGGCTATGCTTTGGCAAGTTACTGGCTGTGATTAACGATTGTACAGATGGATTGCAGCTGCCATTTACCAAGGGAATTAACCCCAATATTTACAATAGAGAGAGTGTGAACACCCTCATGCATACACACAAATGAGTGTATGACAGCTTAACCAGTTGTAAGATGCTTTTCTGCAACGCTACCGCCTGCTACCTGTGTGTACACACAAACACGCTTTTACTTAGCTATGCAAATAGGGACATACCATATGACCTTGAAAGTTTGAATTATTTAATTTATTATGAGTCATTTTTCCAAGATAAGATGTCCCCGAATGTCACCAAAGAACGATTAAGCTATACTTCCGGGGACAAAGGATGGCAAAATAAACACATACATGTTCATAAAACACACACACACTCAGTTGTACAGAGAGATATCCTTCAAATGTCAATATTTATACATCCATAAACTATTACTAAAACCTCAGTAAATATTTCAAATTAGCAGACTTAGTACAGCTTTTCAATATATTACATTGTTTAAAAGTTTATTAAATTATTAAAGGTCACAAATGTGAAATCTGATGTTTGTTGATTGAAAAATTACAAAAAAGCAACAGATAACAGCATATATTGACTACTGCCATAACATAATTATTTGATCACTCAGCAAATTGATCACAAAAGTCTTTTATAACGGCTCTCCAGCTGCATTAAACAATGATGTCTTAATATATTCGAACGTTTACATTAATAATCAAACCATCCATTAAAACTTTTATTCAGCAAGGATGCGATAAATTTATTAAAAGTGACAGTAAAGACATTTATAATGTTTGAAAAGATTTCTATTTCAAATACTGTTCTTTTGAACCTTCTAAAAGAATCCTGAAAAACTGTATCATGGTTTCCACAAAAATATTAAGCAGTACAACTGTTTTCAACACTGATAATAATAAATGTTTCATGAACACCAATTCAGCATATTAGAATGACTTCTGACCATGTGACACTGAAGGCTGGAGTAATAGCTGCTAAATATTCAGATTTGTCATCACAGGAATAAACAAAACTACAAAAATAAATAAATTATAATGTAAAATACATTAAAATATAAAGCTTTATTTCAATTTTTAAGAAAAGTTATTTTAAATTGTAATAATATTTCACAATATTATTGTTTTTCTATATTTTTTATTAAATAAATGCAGCCTCCGTGAGTACAAGGGATTAAAAAACAATAAATAAATAAATAAATAAATAAAATCTTACCAAACCCAACCTTTTGAGCGGTTTGTGTGTGTGTGTGTGTGTAAGTGTGTAAACATATATTTAAGATTAAGATAATATATTAAGGTATGTGACTTCAAGGGTGATAGGGGATTTTTTAATAATCGATAACACTGACATTTCATTATTAAGTGCATAACCGGTTCAACATTGTGTTCTTGGATTTTACAAATGTATACAAGCAGTTTGACATGCATCTAAACATATCAAGCGCTTTGAAATGATGTAAGCGAGTAAGAGTGCTTTTTCTCTCTCCTGCTCTCCTCAAACTCCAATGCAATCAATCGCTCACAGTGACTACAGCCGATGAGAAAAGCGAGAAAGAGGACAGAGAGGGACAGAGAAAGAGATGAAAGGGAAAGCGAAATGCCACCCATGCAATATAAATGCAGAGAAAGCTTGTAGCTGCTGAGCCTAATAACTATCGGCCCAGGCTCAGTCCTGCTTTGATGGCCCAATCTTCTAAAGTGAAACAGGTCAGGATGAGAAATCCAGAGAGAATTAGAGAGGCTGACAATCTTGTCAAAGACTTACACGCACAAACAAACAAACACGCTCACAGAAAGAACATACTCATCACATAAGGAGCCTTAGGAGAAAGAATTCAGAGAAAATATCTTCAGTATGTGTCTTCTCACACGGAATCAATGAGAATCTTCTCAAAAGAAGATTTAATCTTTTGTTAATAGCACCAGTTAGAGGAAAGGCTTTACATTTTGACATTTTCCCTCACACAAAGCTATTGTACGTCTTCAGAAGACTTGGAATATTGTGCACAAGTCATATGAGCTTCTTATAGTGCTTTTATTGTGCTTTTTTGGAGCTCTATTTGCCCCAGGTCTCATTCATGTTCACTCATCTATGACTAAGAGCAGCATGAACACTCTGCTAAACATCTGCTGTGATTTACAGAACAATGAATGTTCTGTAAATCACAATTTTCATTTTTTAGGTGAACGATTCCTTCAACTGATTATTAAAACACAGGTGAAATCCTATAACAACATGACAGATTGTATTGTATATGCCATTTTAACTAAATGGCTGTATTCATGTGTCAAGGATTACAAAATAAAAAAAGACAATGTGACTGAACAGAACACAATGTGGCACAATAAAACAAAGTAGGATGATAAATATTTCTCCATCCTCTATGATGTATTGTGTCTCTGTCAAAACAAACAGGAGCTCCGAGCCAGAAGCAGGAAACAGGCTGATGAGATTTGCACAGTGTGCTGTTATTGGCTCAAACAATGGGGCCGAACAGACGAGAGCGGCCCAGTGATTCCTCACCATTGGGCGGTAACCCCGGAGCAAAGGGGTGACTTGTACACATCGTGATTGGTAACACATTGTTTCCAAATGGACACAGTGAGATTAAGCCTGGATCCTGAATCCTGGACTTTAAATTTAAAAGGGTTGTGAAAAATCTAGCATTAATTGTTTGCAGATGCATTTAGGTTTGAAATACGCTACCATTCAAAAGTTATGGTCGGTAAGATTTTTTAATGGTTTTGAAATAAGTCTCTTATGTTCAACAAGGCTGCGTTTATTTGATCAAACATAAAAACATTTAAAATAATGGTTTTGTGTGTGTGATGACAAAGTTGAATTTTCAGTAGTCTTCAGTGTCAGATGATCCTTCAGAAATCATGCTAATATGTTGATGTGATGCTCAAGAAACATTTCTTATTATTATCAATGTTCAAAACTGTTGTGCTGCTTAATATTTATGTGGAAACGGAAACATTTTCATCATGATCAATAGGAAGTTTAACAGAACAGCATTTATTTGAAATGTAAATATTTTGTAACATTATAAATGTCACTTTTAATTTTTTTTTCTGAATAAAAGTAATAATTGCTTAACTGATTGACACCAAACTTTTTAAACAGTAGTGTATTGTTATCTAATGCAACTAGATTTTAACATTTAACTGGCTTAAATGCCCAAATTCTTTTTGGAACTACAGTATTATATAACTGTGTATAACATGCATTTTTATACAATGACTGAATAATAAAAACAGGCTTACCTCGATCAGGAAACATAAATGCTAGGTATGATATTTAACTGAGCAGCAACAACAGGCCCTCTTGATCGTATGTTCTCTAAGAGAAACACTCTTTAGCTGAAGAGGAGGAAAACAGAGCAGAGGAATTGTTATGGTTCCCTGGATGGAGCGGTGTACAGTGTGGATCACTGAGCCAAATTCCCTCTCATACTTGGATGGAGTCCAGACTCTTTCCAAGACACATATTTCAAGAACCTGAGCTGTGAGCACAGAACAAATGTCACTGACTACCAGCACCATAAGCTCATTTTAGCCTTCACATTTCCTTTTAAATTAGGGTACATAGTTTCTACAGATAGGGCAAGTTGAATTATTAGATCCAGTTGCTGCCAGTATGATCAGTTTATACCTCAAGAAATGGCTTAAAGGTGACGTGTATCTTTTTCTGTTTCTCTTAACCCAGTTTAATGTGCCATATAAAGCACAGAAATATAAAGGTTGCTTGTAAAAAGATATTTAATCAAAATATCATAAATGTTGATAATAACTAATACAATCATTAATATAAATATAACCAAATAAATTCACTGACATATATTACACTGTTAATAAAATAATTATTAACTAATATGTCAATTTAAAATCCTCCATAGTTTGGGAAACCTGTTTGGAAACAGTAAGGAATTTTATACTTTGCTCCTTCAGTACCAAAAGATTACTCACTTTACCTTTAAAAGGGTGGTTCACTGTTTTTTTAGGCTTGATTGTGTTTATGGGGTGCAGTCTAACATGCGTTAATGCTTCGTTTTTTAAAAAACGCATTATTTTTCACATAATTTACCTTTATTCCACACCGCTCTGTCCCTTCTCTGAGAAACGGGCTGATCATTTCCTGTTTTTATGAAACCCCGCCCTCAGAAATAGGCAATGGGCTCTGATTGGTTAGCTAGCCCAATGTGTTGTGATTAGCTAAACCGCCTCTAGTGCGCATCTAACGTTCCGCCCCTCACCTCAGCGGCATGTCCTCCGGTTGTATTTTAAACAACGGCGTCGTTAATATCACTTATCAATTTGAGCCCGATTGAGAAGCAGAGGATATTATTGAAGAGGATTACCCTTTTAAATCTACATGCGAAAGAAGCTGTACACTAAGGAATAAAACATTTATAAATAAAATATATTTCTGAAAAATAAAAGTGCAACAATGAGACACATTTTCTTCCATCATTTCCAATAGCACACAAAACTAGAATCTCCATGTCTGCTTGTAATATGCATCAGTCTTCAGAAAGCCATAAAATGCCTGCTGCATCTTAATAGATTCCATGTTTGCGAAAGGTGGAGAGACTTTGGCTTTCCCTTGTTGCCGTCCCTGCCAGCGATAAGCAAACCTTGGATATTTTGGAGGGAATGGCAATAGTTTATAAATTGCGTTCGGCAGCAGGTTCTGATTTAAAAGAAGCAGCTACCAAAATTATCTCCACACTACATGAAACACTGATTTAAAGACAGACAAAGCATTGTTCAAAGCTGCCTGATAGAAGTGTGAACAGTGAAGAAAGATGTTAACCACAAAAACAGTTTTTAAATAACATTCATACAACTCTTAATTTCAGCTTCATAAGATATTGATTTTATTGTTGGGTGTCCATATAAAATGCATAAATTGTCAAACTTTCAGATTTGTTCCGATGTTTGGCAGACAACCTTGTTTAAATGGACTTATAACTGCTCTCGCTGTGTTGATGTTTGCCTTTGGCTTGTGAATGCTGAGCTCCACTAAGGCTAAATTGATTCATGCTCATTGGGTATTTGCAATTTAACAGACATTATTTATCCAGAGCAACTAGTAAACTATTGTTGAATGGGATACTTAGAGGCAGGGCTGTGCACAGACATTTTGAGGGGCAGTGGCCGAAATCACTGGGGGTGGGGCAGTTATTGCTCTGCCGTATATATGTATATGTAGGCTATATGTATATGTATGTATATATATCAATCATATTTTTGTCTTTAACATTTTGTATTTTAAGGGAATGTTTCGGTACTAAATGTTTACTCAATATTTACTCTAAATTATGCACCATGACGTAACCACTACATGGCTGTATAGCCCTATATTTAAATATATAAACAGGGCTGTGTATTCCCTAGTTGCTGGGAACATTGTTTTCAAACATAATTACTTACTTGTATTAGATTATGTATTTGCATATATACAATATTTAGACCATTAGAGACTACTTTTTGTAAAAGTTGACATTTAAAGATTGATTTGAAGTGTCAGTTTTTGCATTATTAGGCTAACCGAGACTTGTCATTTGCACTTATATATTGTTGCTCTTTTGTTAGTTTTGACTGCTTTTATTGTCCTCATTTGTAAGTCGCTTTGGATAAAAGTGTCTGCTAAATGACTAAATAATAATAATAATAATAATAAATAGCTTGTACTTATTTGAACAATGTCTAAAAACTTGGTATTACAAGCACTTCCTGTATCTGTTTGCCTCTTTAAGAAGAATCGCTTTATGTATCCCCCAATTGTAAGTCGCTTTGGATAAAAGCGTCTGCTAAATGTCTAAATGTAAATGTAAATAATTATTATTGCAGTCAAACTTGGACACAGGGAACATATTTTGTTACTCATACTAGCTACATATAATAACTTGATCTGTCACACGAAAGTAATCAGAATAAATATTGACTCAGTGCGACCATATTTTGATATTCCAAAATATATTATTGAGTATTGAGGTACCATATGAACAGAGACGTGGACTGTGGTCGAGTAGTTTGAAAAACTCCACATCGCTGTCAGAGATTGACAGATTCAGATTCCAGTAGCTTTATTGGCATGGTAAACAGGCTTAACATTGCCAAAGCAATGATAGCGCTCTGATCCAGTGCTGTTGAGCATTATCAAATGTACAGGCGGCAATGGGCAGCGAATCAGTGGTGAATCAGAGGCAGTGATTGACAACGCTCTGATCCAGTGGCATTAGGCATTGTCAGATTAACAGTACTCTATATAGCCCAATGGTGTTGGAAGGGCACCTCAGCCAATGAGGGCAGAGGGGCAGTGGCTCTAGCCACCGGGCCACCCCCCTGTGCACGGACCTGCTTAGAGGCTCTCAGACACTCTCATTCTGACGGCACACAATCACTCCAGAGGATCCATTGGTGAGCAAGTGATGTAATGCAAAATTTCTCCAAATCTGTTACGATGAAGAAACAAACTCATCTACATCTTGACTTGGATGGCCTGAGGATAAGTACATTTTCAGCAAATTAAAATTTTTGGGTGAACTATTCCTTTAAATACCTGCTTTATGATAAATGCTCAACAAATTGCAGATATAAATTATCTAATCCTCAATCCCATCTAATTCTCTAATCCCCCAAGTGTGCTGCTGCTCTTTTAAAAATCTGACGTATCACAATTTTTTACATCCTTAAAGTCGGCATGAAACGGAAGTTGAGATTGTCCTTTTTTTCCATATTGTGATGTATATCCGAGTGAAACGGCTTCTGAAATGAGAAACAATTTAGGGCGGGGCTTGATTTCGTCCTTCGGGAATTGATTGGATCGTTGGAAGTTGGGCGTTGCTAACAAAATGGAGGCAGAAACGAGACGATAGCCCCGCCCTCACGCCATCGCACATGACAGGAAGAGAAGAGAGGCAGAGGGGCAGTGGCTCTAGCCACCGGGCCACCCCCCTGTGCACGGACCTGCTTAGAGGCTCTCAGACACTCTCATTCTGACGGCACACAATCACTCCAGAGGATCCATTGGTGAGCAAGTGATGTAATGCAAAATTTCTCCAAATCTGTTACGATGAAGAAACAAACTCATCTACATCTTGACTTGGATGGCCTGAGGATAAGTACATTTTCAGCAAATTAAAATTTTTGGGTGAACTATTCCTTTAAATACCTGCTTTATGATAAATGCTCAACAAATTGCAGATATAAATTATCTAATCCTCAATCCCATCTAATTCTCTAATCCCCCAAGTGTGCTGCTGCTCTTTTAAAAATCTGACGTATCACAATTTTTTACATCCTTAAAGTCGGCATGAAACGGAAGTTGAGATTGTCCTTTTTTTCCATATTGTGATGTATATCCGAGTGAAACGGCTTCTGAAATGAGAAACAATTTAGGGCGGGGCTTGATTTCGTCCTTCGGGAATTGATTGGATCGTTGGAAGTTGGGCGTTGCTAACAAAATGGAGGCAGAAACGAGACGATAGCCCCGCCCTCACGCCATAGCACATGACAGGAAGAGAAGAGAAGTCGTTTTGAGGTGGGAGGGAAGGTTAACGTATTTGATTAAAGATTATGAGGGCACATGAATTTTTAAAAAATAATGAAGCGCACAGATAAATCATCTATAATAAACACTACAATATTACATATAAAAATAAGAATTGTAATTTTGATTTCATGGCGACTTTAAGTCATTCAATATTATCATGCGCATAAAAAGCTAATAACGGCATCTGGATACTTACATAAAAATGAAAACTTGCAAACTGAAGGACAGTCAATGTCCTCTACAGTGTGTCCTCTGTGTCTCAGTTACTGTATTTGGCATTGGTCTTAATTCGGTCTTACGTGGCCATGTGCAGTGAGACAAGCACTTCGTCCCCAAGGCGAGTCACAGCTGCTACTGTGGACAATATAGTTGCCAGTTACGGAGATGATGACAACGTCGGGCTGCCAGGGGCTTCAGGGGCCATCTTCCTGCAGAAAACAGCAATGACCTGGCTGATGAGGCAAAGATGAACAAGTCCAAAAAAAATGAAATAACGTGACCAAATTCAAGGCCAAACATTTTGACAAATGTAGAGATGAATCTGTTTTGTGCACTTATCCACATTCCTAAACCAATCCACATTGAGTTGTTCTGCCTTCTTTGTGACACCTAGACTGCTTTTAAAGTCTCCCATAGACCTAGTGCTGTATGGTGGTCCTTCAGTTTTTTATTTGACGAAGACTGTAAACTCAGACCGAGTGAAAAGAAACAGAAACAACAGCCTTGAGGCTGTGGGCGGCAGCATCACCTCACTTTAAAAGCTATGAAATAAATCTACAGTATGCAATCTGTTAGCACACACACACACACACACACACACACACACACACACACACACACTGTGTTTTCTGTTTTTCAGAGAAACAACTCTGTTTGTTGCTGGCTGTAACGTTGTGGAGAACACATCTTTCAAATCCTGAGGAAGAGCTTTGTGTTTGTAGCTAGTGGCGTTATTCATTAGCTTGGCACAGGCCTGCTGCAAAAGAATCAAACTGGTGGCATTACTCACAGGCTCGGCGTAGGGTCCCTGCACAAGAGTGGGATTTTATAACTGTGTGCTTTCCGGAAAACCAACATATGGGATAGATTACAGCATCCACCTCTGCACTCCTCTTTGTGCTGAACTGAAACTTTTTTAATTTAAAGGGGTGGGTTATTGGACAATATATGGTACATCCAAAAGTGCTGCATTACACAATATAAAAAAAATGGTAATTTACATTAATACATCATATTAAACAGAACAAGACCAAAAACAAAACAAATCTTAGAAAAACAAATCTTAGAAGTCTTCTGCTTCTAAGATTTTTCCTCCAATAAACCAATAAATAAAACACAATAAAATAAAATAATACATTGATATTTATATTTAAAAATATTAAAACATTTATGCAATTATTTAAAGTAAAATCAAACTAAAGTTAATCAGTTTGGGGTAAGATTTTCATTTTTTTTATTTTTCAAATGAATACTTTTATTTAGCAAGAATGCATTTAAATGATCAAACATGACAATAAAGACATTTACAATGCTACAAAATATTTCTATTTTAAATAAAAGCTATTCTTTTCAACTTTCTATTCATAAGCATACTGAAAAAATTGGTGTTTCCACCAAATATTAAGCAGCACAAATGTTTTCAACATTGACAAAGAAATGTTATTTTAACACTAAATCAGCATATTAAAATGATTTCTGAAGGATCATATGACACTGTAAAATGGAGTAATGGCTTCTGAAAATTCAGCTTTGCCATCACAGGAATAAATTACATTTTATAATATATTCAAATAGAAAACAGTTTTTACTGTATTTTTGATCAAATAAATGCAGCCTATATATATATGCCCACACAAATTGTCTAATTTGTTTCCAGCTATACTATTCTATGGAATTTTAGGAAATATATCCAAGACAAAGTTGACACTTAAAGTCTTTTAAAACTCCTATAAAGACTCCTAAGCTATGAAACAGTAACCTCTGAGCAATAAAATGTTCCTCTGGGCACGCATTCAGTGCGAACAGACCACGCGCACACCCAGGGCCGGATTGACCTCTTTTCGTGACATAGGCAAAACAAATTTTTGGGCCCCCCTTCCCTAATATAATAGGCCTAATATTACCACCCAAGCAAACAAAAATATTTCTTAATCAGTGGGACCCGTTACAGTGTTTTCTATCGCAATAAGCGCTTGCGTTCAATCAATACAAATTGAATGTAGTTCTTAATTTGTTTGAGAACGTAAAGGCACAATATGTAAGATTTTTTAATTAAAATATCCAAAAACCACTAGAACAGTGTTATATATTTTGCTGACTTGTGTACTTACATTATCCCAAATGTTTCGAAGAATGTTTAAATCCAGAGAAATAAGCAATTTTAACTAGTGACACGGACCGTGTCCATATGTCATTGTGTCGCCCGCCAATGACGTCATAACCCCTCGATTTCCCGTTTTGTTTTGTATGAAACATGGAAACATCAAAGACGCTTTAATATGTTGTGCGTTTTAATAGACCGGTGACGACCGCACAGAGTAGAATTATAACATAGCTTTCAAATGTATCTAGTATGATAAAACAGTGCTGCTTTTTTTACCCACATACGACCGGAAGGAGCGGAAGCAGTCGACTGTGGCATAATAAAAGCGCCGCTGCTTTCGAGCCGTGTGTCACGCTCCTTCAGCGGCCTTGTTTCGCTTCGACGGCTTTCAGCCTCACCCTGCTTCATTCTACTACCTTAAGCTCATCCATGAACATCCATGAACACGAGTCCCGTCGGATTGCATCGGCTGTGGGGATGAAGACCACAACTCCCATGATTCCACACTCACAGCATCATCAAACTATGCCTTTGCCTCTTTGTTTATTTTGAATACGCGCCCTCTAGCGGCGAAAATTACATATTGTGCCTTTAAGCCTCGTTCAGACTGTCAATCTGATTTTGTGCAAATTCCAAAACGTCATTTTAGAGCTAACAACAGAGGCTTGAGCCATTGATATGCAGGCTAATGCAGTTATTAGCCTAATGCAGCCTAACGCAGTTATTAGAGAGAGAGAGAGAGCGAAAGAGAGAGAGAGGGAGAGAGAGAGATTAAGTGCGTGTGAATACTTGCGTCTGTGCGTCTCAGCAGTATTCAGCAGCAGCGTCTACTAATAGCGAATCTTTAAGTTGAACTGCTTCAAGAACCTCGCTACTGAGAAATGTCATGTAGCTTTTTAGCTGCGAAACTATTTTATTGATAAATTCGCAGGGGCAGCGCTGACAACAAGTTTCTGTCCACGTCTCCGCGTGTGCGCGCGAGTGCGTGTCTGTCTGTGTGCGTCTGTGAGAGAGAACAGGAGAAGGAAAGTGTGTTTTCTGTACATAAAAAAGGTGGAAGACATGGAAATAGTTTGTCATTTTTACCCTATTATTTGTTATTTATTTTTACAATGTCTTCTGGGGTTTTGGTTCTTTTACTGTTGTAGATATCCAATAGTATAACAAAAATGTTATATATCTCTTTATTGTGTTTGGGCTCCCCCTGGACGAGCAAGCATAGGCACGTGCCTAGAATGCCTATGTGTAAATCAGGCCCTGCGCACACTATTCAGTCACATACAGTGGTTAAAATAGACCCGTATAATACCTATCTGAGTCGGATTGCTGTCCGCCCCAGACTGCATTAGTATGTACATATTTAGCCCACATATTCAAGTCATCGGGCAGCGTTCAAGATGAATAACAATCAAACGCAGAGGCAGCCCAGCACAGCAGCAAACGTCCCGTGCTCTTGCGTGGTCCTTAATTAGTGTGTCCTTCATCATGTCTTCCTCCAGGCCTCTGGTACCCCAAAGGCCCTCTGCAGATTAATTACAAAACACCAGGTAATCATATTGATTCCATTCAGCCCAAAGACACAGCTCTTGACCTTAAACATGGACGGGATGGTGACGATGCTCGACAACCTTGCACACTGACCCGAAACCAGTTGAGAGTGATTTATTATGAATGTATTTTTTAAGAGGTAATGTTGGATCACTGTATTTTAGTATCATTTATATATTATTACAGTTTTTTTCTAAGATTTTAAATTAGATTTTATTTTCATATCTTCCGAAATTTTCATTTTAGTTAAAGCTTTAGTAATTTTCTTGTTTTTTCATTTTCATTTGTTTTTGTCTATATTGTATTTATTATTTTTTATTTATTAGTTTTAGCTTATTTAGTTTTAGTTATTTTAGTACTTATTTGTTATTTTAGAAATACTACCTTGGTGACTAGCTGAAATAAGCTTACATTTTCTTTATTTTATTTTCAGTTAACATTTATTTTAGTATCATTGATATACTATTATAGTTTTTTTTTTTTATATTTTGAATTAGATTTTTTTGTTATATTGTCTGTCATTATTTTAGTAATTTTTTTTAGTAAATATGTTTTGTGTGTTTGTCATTTTTATTTTTTTATTTGTCTATATTGTATTTATTAATTCATTATTTTATTAGTTTTAGCTTATTTAGTCATAGTTATTTTAGTAGTAACTTAAACTAAACGAAAATCAAACATTTTGCTTTGGAAACTTGCTGAAAAAATTTTTTGTTTCAGTTAGCATTTATTTTATTTCAAGAAAGAAGTTTTTGTATGGATTTAGTGTTAGTTAATGATAATAACCTTGTGTTGGATTAATATCAGATGTAGGTGACAGGTTTGATTACAATTAACTGGTTCTCTGTCTCAAATTGTCCCTTAAAACTTTCACACTTCATGGCAAATGTACATATTTATAGGGGCAGTAAGCCAGGGGTCTGGATTTAGTGCGACAGGTTAGTTTTACCCTACTGATGTACCGTCGTTGCAATAGTAATCCTGCTCAGTACGAGAGGAACCGCAGGTTCAGACATTTGGTGCGTGTGCTTGGCTGAGGAGCCACTGGTGCGAAGCTACCATCTGTGGGATTATGACTGAACGCCTCTAAGTCAGAATCCCGCCTAAACGTAACGATACCCCGGGTAGATGTAAATACACAGTACTGTATGCAGGTCTAATGCAGTAAATGAGTCACTCTAGCCTGATGCACTGTAGCGTCACAGTATTGCTGCATTGGACAGGTGGGGCAATAAGTGGGCCAGTTAAATTTGAGACAAAGTCTGCCAAAACCAGCATGAAAATGGGGACAGCTGCTGTGATGACATCACTGGCCCCGTCTGCTCAAAGTGTGCCAATAGTCTATTAAATTAAATAAACTGCAAGCATGACTTCAGCTTAAAATACATGAGTCAAATTAATTTTGAGCACAGAGAGATTTTGAAATTTACCAGTTTTTCCTTCTGCATATCATTCCAAGCATGAGTCATTTGATGAAAATGTGTCATTCCTCATGTAAGTTACTCCCGTTGACACTCCTGTGTGGTTCAGTCTACTTCAGGAGGCTTCAACAGGAGAATGATGATAACAAACTAAAATACAACATTAGTTAGCTGTAACTAGGCAAGTCATTATTGGCCATAAAATGCAGCAATATAATAATACAAAGCTTTACAGAATACTATATGTAATTTCACTGATCTAAGGCCTCATTCATATGTGGAAATAAATCGGATATAAATCAGATATGTGCCAATGCGACTGTCATGTAAACAGGCAGATCTGATTTTCTGAGGCATTGCGTTCTGTACATCATTAAAACTGCGACAATTTGGTGTCAGTTGACAATTTTCTTCGCGGTTTAATGTCGTCATATGACCCGTGCTGGCAAAATGAGTGTAAATTCGCACGGGCTATTTTGAGCCACAGGCAAAAAAATTAAAAAGAAAACAATTTTTTTTTTAAGTGAGACAATGCTCCAGGTAGCAATTAAACATCTAAAAGTATCTTTATTTGAACATTTTCTGAGAGGATTACCTTTTCTCCGCTCGCTTCTCACGCTGACTGTCATCCGAAGTGCGTGCATTCCCGATAAATACAATTCAATATACAGAATTACAGTATTTCAGTATTCACGCAAACATAATCTGTTCTGTTTGAACAGTGTATGAGTGTGTCACACACAGAAGTGAGTGCAGTGTTGTGATCGAGAAGCTCGTTCGATAAAGAGGCTAAATACCCCTGTTACAAAAGTGGCGTCACGAACAGGATCGAATTAGGCACATTAAGTAGTCACACGTCTCCAGGCCCACAAGTTGTTTGTTGTCAAGAACTATGTGATCTTCAGTTTATTTCAACGCACCCTACGTCCAGTCAACGCCCTCTAATTTATCTTCTACGGTATTCCTCTCAGTTTTTCCGTTTTTTTTTGTGACTGATCTGATAAACAGGGAACTGTGGTAATTCAAGTGGACTATGGAACTTGTTTTGCTGGTTGCGTATCAAAACCAGGAGAGCTGGATATTGAAGAATGGGTGGCATCAATGAAGTCTGCATTTCAAGTCATGAGGGTGCCCACTGAGGACCGGGTTGAGCTGGTGAAACAGCACCTAAAAGATGAGGCCAAAGCCACAGTGAAGTTCATGATGGACGGAAAAGAGGAATCTGTTGACAACATTTTCACTGTTCTCCTTGACACTTATGGAGATAAAGTGCCCATTGGTACAAGGCTGAAAGACTTTTACGATCGTGCTCAGAATACAGGAGAAACAATACGCTCCTATGCATATGACCTTCGGGAAAGACTTAATCGTGTTCAGTGGCAGATGCTGAAAAGGTTTTGAAAGAGCAACTGATGCTAGGCCTAAAAGATGACTTCTTACGTCGAGAGATGAAGCGCAGAATTAAGGCTGAGCCAGAATTGAGTTTCGTGGAGTTGATGCAAGCGGCAATTACCTGGTCAGAAGAGGAGGAAGCACAGCCTTCTACTAATGTCAGGCCCAGTACCCGTGCCAGAGGGATAGTAAATGCTGCTGCAGCACAGGATGCTCCCTCCACTCTGTCTTTAGAGAAGTTGCATGAAGCAATTCAGAAAATAGCTGCTCGTCAAGAGGAATTATATCAAGTCGTTCATGCAAAAGAAAGGAATGGACCACAGCAGAGCCGTCCAAAGAAATTACCGTTAAAAGACAGTGAAGGCCGTTATATTTGTTATGCGTGTGGTGAACCCGGACACACCAGTCGCTATTGTCCACAAGGTGGCAAGTCTGGGAGGGGACCAACTCCACCACAGTGTATAGTGGAGTCAGCTGAAGTTACAGAGAAAGACTTGGGAGGTGCAGTACAGAAAAGCCCAGGGCCCTCATTGATTAGATGTCACACAGCAGAATGGCTGGCTGATGAGACTGCTGAAAAACTGAAGGATAGTGCTTTTGGGGATTGTCTCACTGTTGAGGTGAAGATAGCTGGTGTCAAGACCAAGTGCCTCTTAGATACAGGGTCAGAGGTGTCCACCATTTCCGAGTCACACTTCAGACAGCACTTTGGGGAGCAAAAGCTAAAGTTGTCCTCTGCATGCTGGGTTAAACTGACAGCGGCCAATGGACTAGACATTCCTGTCTTAGGTTGCTTACAGGCTGATGTAGAATGTCTGGGAAAAGTGCTTCCTAGGAAGTGTATATTCGTTCTGACTGACACAAGTCCTGACGTCAAGGAAATGAAAGGAGTGTCTGGGATCATCGGTATGAATATACTCAATGACGTGCGGTCTCTGTTCATCTCAATGGAGGGGATGGAAAAGGTAGACAAGTATAGTCAGCGAGATGAAGCTCAAGTCCGGAGGGTACTTGCTAGAGTTGAGAAGGAAGCGGGACATCTAGGGCCTGACGGAAGGATTGGGTATGTTAAGATTGCCGGAAGACAAGCTGTCACTATTCCTCCCCACTCTGAGAAGGTACTTGAGGGCTGCTGTGGAGTGTCACCTAGGGTGAAGAGTAATGTGCTAGTAGAAACTGCAGCTGGCACAAGTTTGCCGAAAGGACTCTTAGTGGCTCACGTTCTTGCTAAAACAGACTGTGGAAAGGTCCCTGTGCGTATGCTGAACTTGAGTGGAAAGACCGTTAGAATTGCACCCCGATCTAGAGTGGCTTCTGTTTTTAAGCCAAAAGAGGTGGTCACAAAGGATGTTCTTGAATTGGAGGAAGATGACGGTGTACTTCATGTCAAAGAATTAAAGGAAGACCAGGTTCAGGCTGATAAGAACTTACTCATGCAGCCACCAGTTCCAGTTGAAGTAAACTATGAAGGTCTCACACCAGCACAATGTGAAAGGCTCGTCGAGTTGTTATCAAAAAACAGGGATGTCTTCTCCAGAGATGACCAAGTTTATGGTTACACCACAGCTGTGGTGCATGATATCCCTACTGGCGAAGAACCACCGATAAAACAGCGTCATCGTAGACTACCACCACAGATATTTCAAGAAGTCAAAAGGCATGTCCAGAACCTGGTGTCCCAGGGAATCCTCAAAGAGAGCAGCAGCCCCTGGGCATCACCCGCAGTTATCGTAATGAAAAAAGATGGCAGTGTGCGTTTCTGCTGCGATTATCGAAAGCTGAACCAAGTGACGTATAAGGACGCTTATCCGCTTCCACAGGTGGATGAGTCCTTGGATGCGTTGGGCAACGCCAAACTGTTCTCTACACTGGATTTGACTGCTGGATATTTCCAGGTGGCTGTGAGTGAGAAAGATAGGGAGAAGACAGCCGTCACCACCCCATTTGGGCTGTTTGAGTGGACCAGGATGCCGTTCGGGTTGTGCAATGCTCCGTTATTTTGAAAAGAGATTATCTTTGGGATACTTTTATTTTGGTGAGTGGTCCGCTTTTTGCGCGTGCTGCAAGTGCAGCAGGGAGAGACGAAGAAGAGCGCGGTGTATGAGTGTGTCATACACAGAAGTGAGTGCAGCGTTGTGATCGAGAAGTTCGTTCGATAAAGTTGCTTCAACGGAAGATTATCGAGGCTTAAGTCGAATAAAGGACGACAGCACTAAGTGAAAGTGTGTACAGTGAACCGCAGTTCATAGCAGAAAGGAGTTTTTTTAGTTTTGTTCTAGTGGTATATGTTGGCTGTTAAAATGATGCAATAACATATCGAAGGCCACGGAAGCTGTGAGTACGCTTAAAGTGAAAACCCTGCTTGATTTTTTGTCATCAAGTGACTTGTTGCATGTCCTTTTGCTGCATTTTGCAACTCTGTTGTTTTGATTGAAAAGCAGCGCCAAGAGCTAACATTTCAATGGGACCATTCACGTGCAATTAAGTTTCCCGCACGTGTCAGAGCACGTGAGACTGAGATCGCTGTATAATGCAGTTAATGCAGAGACTTAACTTTTCCGCCGATTCAAGTTTGAAGATTGATTCATCTCAGTTTGATGCTTTTTGAGACAGTTTATCTGTGGGGTATTTTTACAAGACTGAGTGAATTTTTGAACTTACACACTTAAAACTACGTGATCTTCAGTTTATTTCAACGCACCCTATGTCCAGTCAACGCCCTCTAATTTATCTTCTACGGTATTCCTCAAATTTTTTCTGTTTTTTTAGTGACTGAACTGATAAACAGGGAACTGTGGTAATTCAAGTGGACTATGGAACTTGAGTAACTGTGAGTAACTCGTGAACTGTGAGTAAACATTTGAAGGGACGTTTCATATAAGTGCTCAGTCTGAGGTGAGCTTTAATTATGTATGCTTTGTTTTTGTTGTTGTTGTTTACAAATGTGATTGTTTGAAGGTGATCATTTGAAAAGGTGAGAATTTGTGGGTTTACCAATTTACAAATTGAGCGGGGACCAAGATCCTTTCGTTGTCCAAACTTCCAGGGCAGCTGTAATCCATTTCCCCTACACAACGGGCTAAATACCCCCGTTACAAGTAGGCTATAAGACGTCTGCATAGGCGGAGGGTGAACCAACTCCAGGGTAAGGCTAAAAGCAGCCAAATCTATTAACTACAAACATCATAAACCTGTCTTTTTAGGCAAGAACCAGACATGGGTGTCATGTAGGCTAATAAAATATGTTTAATGGGACTGAATTTGTATTTAATGTGATTACAACTTAATTAAAACATTAGAAATTGATAATTATATAACGTTTCCTTCACGGTT